GAGAAAGGTGAAAATTGAGGTCGGCCGATCGATACTATTCAAATTCGATTGTGCAACATATTTGTTTACATACCCATGATGTGGTGAGATATGATTTGGTTAAAAAATTTAAGTCAAAAAAAAAAAGAACAGAAAACTTCTCCACTCTTATTTTTTACATATCATTTGTATGTCAACCGTTACGAAACTGCTTATATACAAGTAGCATCATTCATTTAAATTTCGTGAGCTCATATCGGGTTTTGATTTTTGACATGTCTCAAATCTCAAATCTATATATCTTCCGTAAAGAATTTTGGGCAAAATTGACAACAATCCTATATTTTATTTTTAAAAAAATTGTAAAATATCCCGTATCATTGAAAATCAATATTTTACAATTTCGCCTCATTTTATAATTTTTGTGGAAAACTACCTCATATTCCTCTAAAACCAATATTTCAAATTTTCGTTTAAAAGCAATACTTTTACATAGACTTGTGTGTGGGTCAAGTTGGATCAATTTTAGGCCAAACTCGAAATGAAATCGAGCCAACGCCATATTTGAAAGTAGAAATTACACCCATCCCTAGTTTTAAATTATAAAATTCAAAATTCAAAATTAAAAGTTTTCTTATAAAAAATTAGATATAAATCAAATTTTTAATATTAATAATAATATTATAAAAATTAAATTATTCTACGTATTGAACCCACTGTTTCTAACCTAACCAAACCCTAATTATTTCAATTTCTCTTCTTTCTCTCTATACATATCTATTCTCTCTCTCCCAACCTCTCTCTACGACTCTACTGGAGGTCGGTCTCCTTCCCTCCCCAATCTCTCTCTTTCTCTTCTCACCCAAACCTCTGCGCGAAGAGACATATTGCTGCGGTGGAAGCATCCCTGCTAATAGAGGCATCGTTCTGAGCTATTTGCAGCTCCGCACGAGGTGTTGCAGCGGCAGTTCACTAGTGTTGCAACAGCGCAGAGATTACGGTGTTGCCTTCTTGGTGGCATATAACATTAAAGAATCGATGTGGAGATTATGTGTATTTAAAGGTGTAAAAACGGGCGGTCCGAGCCGGCCCAGACCGCAAGGAGAGAAGCCCGGTCTCGGACCGTGCTGAAAATAAACCGGCCCGAGCGGGCTTCCCGGGCCGGTCCGGCCCTGATCGGGTCAGGAGAGGTCTGACCGGGACCGGATCGCTGCCGGCCTGCAGGCCCGCATGGGCCGGTCGGCCCGCACATGTTTTTTTCCCAAAAAATAAACGGTAAAAAGAATTATAGTGAAAATCGATAAGAGTTACGTAAAAATAAATTTTACATTGATTTATTTTTCGATAAACTTTACATCAA